CTACTACTACTACTACTACTACGACCACCACCACCACCACGACGACCACGACCACGACCACGACCACGACCACGACCACTACCACTACTACTTCTACTTCTACTTCTACTACTACTCCTCCGACTCCTGCTCCTACTCCTACTGCTACTACTACTACTACTGCTGCTGCTGCTGCTACTACTACTACCACTGCCACTGCCACTACTACTACTACTACTACTGCTGCTGCTCCTGCTGCTGCTGCTGCTTCTGCTGCTACTACTACTACTACTACGACAACGACGACGACGACGGCCACCACCTACCACCTACTACTTTTTGATGAAATCCCAGAGAATGTCTAGGCCTCAGGGCCTATAAATTGCCTTATTAAAACGCAATAAAAAATAATCATTTGAGAAGCTCACAGAAGGTACCCCTCACAAGGGCCGGTCCCCCATCAATAATCTGCACTACTACCCCCCTATTAATTTGATCCTGTGTCCCTGGCCTTTTGCCTGTGCTTATTTACACTAACTATACTACTACCACTACTACCTACTACCTACTACTACTACTACGACGACGACTACCACTACTACTTCTACTTCTACTTCTACTTCTACTTCTACTTCTACTACTACTCCACCTACTCCTGCTCCTACTCCTACTGCTACTACTACTACTACTACTTCTACTACCCCTACTCCTACTCCCGCTCCTACTCCTCCTCCTCCTCCTACTACTACTACTACTACCACTACTACCACTACCACTCCTACTGCTACTACTACTACTACTACCACTACCACTATCACTACCACTACCACTACCACTACCACGACGACGACGACGACGACTACTACGACTACCACTACCACTACCACTGCCACTACCACTACTACTATGAACTCATTGCTTCCTAGATGGACTCTGGCCTCATGCTCATCAGCTCATCCCCTCAAAGCCTGGTATCATCCTTCATGGTCCTATGGTCTCATAACACATTATTCAGGGGAGGTGGACCTCATGAGCGGTATCTCATACCTTCTTGACCTTGTTGACCTACCATGTGAGGGGAGGGGGGGGGCTGTTTATTAATCAGGAGTTGACATTACCCAGCAAACGTCAAAATATCACTGCGCAAGCACACAGTATGCCAAGGCTGCCAAGGGTCTGGCGCAATGAGGCCAGTTAAAATAATAACATTGTAGCCAATAAGCTCATCGAAGGAAATGGTGTGATAAATGCGCCAATGGAGGTAGCAATAACCTGCAACTCAAACACCGAGAGATTCCAGTCCTCTTCTTGACCGACCTTACATGTCCACAGACCTTGCATCTCGTGGGTGCAAAAGACCAAGACCTAAGCTAAAACATGTTCTTCGTCCCCCGCAGCCTACGGCAGCCGCTTGCACCAAAAGGATGACCGCGAAAAGGTTGCACTGCAAACTCCGCCGGATCCGTCTGGCGGTATCCTTCTCGAAGCATCTCACCTCGTGCAACAGGCTCCAACACGAAGTATGAAGTATTCGATGATATTCATAAGATACTGTGATGAGCTCTGCAACAGAACAAAGTAAGTGATCTGTTTATCTCTCGGCATGTTCTGACCTTCCCACCCCTACAGTCCTAGCTCTCAGTATGTGACTCTGGCCTTATAGCACACCGCCGTGCATCCCAGTGTGCCGGTGGAGATTAAAGCGAAAGGCAACGAGGTGCCAAAATATGGAACCTCAAGCAGCAACACCGGTGGATATGGGATGATCCCGGTGCGCACGCTGCGCGGAAAAATCGACTCTCGCAGAGTTCTCCATAAATCTCGCCTTGTGGATCTTCGAGCCCAATATCACGGCGGTTGCCAGCGTCAAAGACATGGTTTCAAACAAATCCTCCAGCGAGTCACAGCTGACCAGCAAGAGATTAAAATGCTAAGCAATCGTGCTGACAAGATTGGACATGAAGAGACATGATGCAAATGTAGCTGATCATCCAAGCATCGGAGGATGTGCCACCTCAGGGGAAATAACCACGCAACTAGTCCAGTTGTAGCCTCTCTCTCTCTCTCGCCCTCTGCTTGAGAGAGAGAGAGAGAGCCTCAAAGCTGGGATAAATCACATAACATGCTGACCTCTGCTGAAGGATTCCAGAGTCCAAATAAAATGAGCAGGGCTCAGATTGTGCCCAATGGGTTCGAGGGTATCTAGACTCAGACACATACAGAGTAGTGCAGCTAGTGAAAATGAAAACACGAGCCCAAGGAGAGCAGTCAGAAGAGAGATGAGATGGGAAGGACCGTATACGCACATAACTGCATAAAGGACGGTGATGATTTTGAATAGATTGACCGCACAGCCCCGAAGCGACCCACGGTGACCCATGATAATCCACTCACAGAAAGAAGCGTGTCAAAGCAATCCTCTTTGGACTGATTTGGACTGATTCTATCCTGCATCATCCTGCATCCATAATTAGGCTGAATGGATCCCAAATCATTTCTTGATTAGATATTTAATATGGAGTCCAAGGTCACAGTTTGGCCCTATTGCATGGCAGGTTTGCTCAGCAAGGGGCCCACGTCGGCAATGTTCTCGCCGATGGCCTCGGCAACAATGAACTCTGGAAGGAATTTACCAATGAGCGGGAACCATGGTTGAGCTTTTGAATCAGTTTACCTATGCAAGATCGATAAGCCTTGAAACCCTCCAGAAAGAAAAGGTCTTGATCGTCTCTGCTGGCTGTATTGTGCGCTTCGTCCAATTGTGCTCAGCTGCATCCAAATAATTCACCGGGTGCATCGTCTTCAATGTTTTAGCCATTTCTTCTTCTATATGCTTTCGAATTTCCAGTTCCTTCATTGATTGGAGCCACACACATGAGAACCAAACAAACATCGATCGAAACCACGTCGAGCGCTGAAGGTCCTTTGCTGTCACGTACTGTGCATCTTGCATTTCATCAACCTGGCTGTCCTAGGCGGTGGAACCCAATGCTGAATAACTTGGCATATGATGGCATATGCCATATGATGCCATATGCCAAGTCATCCAGCTTGGGCATGCCAAGTCATCCAGCTTGCGGAAACAAAAACAACTTTTAGGCAATTGATTCCAATGATGACGCCTGGAAAGTCCGTATCCCAGCATGTCCCAGCATCTGGATTGATCAGCCTTTCTGCTGCTATGGCCTTTTCATCTTTTTCGCCGTCCTGAGGGCAACTGCAGGGAACAAACCGGGAATGGACGGATTCCTGACTGCGAGAACATGCAAGAACTGTGCTCGATTTTTAATGATTCAGGAATGATTCAAGACAATTCCGTTGGAAGGCAGTAGCAAAGCTCTGCCGCACATATGATCTGGGAAGCTAAGATCACCTCGACCAGAGCTTGCAGCCATGCTTCGCCATCCAAATCTTCCAGTTGCTTTTTCATCTCTCTTATCCTCATGCACCCCCGCAGGAGACATACATATATATATATATATACAGTATGTATATATATATACATTATAATATCTCACACAAAGGCCAAATGAACTTGAAAGAACAACGCACGAAAGTGAACAAAGGGTCTCCATGTACAGGGCCTGTTTCACCTACTCTCCATTTCCACACCGTGTGGCTGACTAAGTTATGTCTATCAAGCCCAAGTTTGTTAACCTGCATGGCTCCTGAGGTCAAGAATTATCCTGAAAGCAGGCAGGGATAAACTTCTGAGGTTACAATGACTTGCTGACGCACAAGCAAGAGGCTGATCTTGATTCATGTCATCATCCATCTCTCCAGTGATCTGGTCCGCTACGAAGTCCTTATCTGCTGCAGCTGCATCAAAACACATGGCTCTCATAACTAACAGCTTAGGACCCAGCAGCTCCAATATCTGACCCTTTGGAGAAAATACCGCCGCCCACTCGAATGTAGAAGGAGATCAGGCTCACACCTGTGAAAATTGCGAAGCTGCTCTGTGCTGAGCTGTTAAATATGTGGAGGCCCATGTGCCTGCACCAAAGCCAACCAAAGCATTGGCATCACCAACCTGGGGAGCTTGTGACGAACCCTGCACTGCCAAAGGACACCCAGTGGACATCAATGGTTAAATCTTCATGACTGACAATCCAACAATCCACTCACCATGATCAAAATTATCAAGAGCAATCGCCAAGTCTTGGTCTCGCGGCAATCATCCACACCAGCACTACGCCCACCTGTTCAGCATCTAAACATTTGCTGACACACCAATCCTCCATCCATTACTGAAACATGCTTACACACTGGGTATTGGCGTTTCATGCCTCGCCTGGGCCAAGCTGTGCGCACTGAGTCCACCGATGGCTCCCGTCCGCACACCCGATTGCAGGGATCCAGGGAGATCATAGTTCATGGCCTGATTTCAACAGCACATCAGTTCCAACGTTTTGGTCACTAGCAGCTGTAGTTGGTTGGGTTTGATCATGCTTGATCCACAGAACTGGCCATGTCAGAGATGCTCTAAAGTGTGAGCCTCTAAGCACATTGCAACATGGGTCAACGGGGGGTGTTGCCCGGAAAGCAACATGCGGAGGGCTGGAAAACCATGCGTTTTACATGTTAATTTTGCCTTGGCCACTCAACTCACCGTCTTGGAGTTCATAAACTCCAAGGGGATGACTGGAGTGGATTTTAAGAAAGCTCATCTTATCCGCACATTGTCCGCATCATGTATACAGTAGGGCATCAGCTCATCATCCACATCACGACGCATCAGCGCATCATCCGCATCATGTCCGTACTGCATCAGCGCATCATCCGCATCATGTCCGTAATGCATAATCGCATCATCCGCATCATGTCCGTAACGCAACAGCGTATCATCCGCATCATGCACGTCGCATCATCCGCGTCGTCATCATCATCATCAGCGAAGTTGATCATTTGCATTCCACTAGACCATGTTGGATCATTTGAAAGGTTGCCTTTCTGGGCAACCCTCCCGTTGACCAACATATTGCAACAGTATTGTTTTTCAAGTTTAGTTTCGTTTACATTACTGTAGTTAGACTTGGCGAAGGCTCTTGAAAAACACGCAAACAGGATCTGAGTGCCCGGCATGAGTGAGCCGTGGGCCACCTCGACTGAGAGAGGAACACTTATACTAGCAGGGGGTCGGGTCAGGGAGAGGACTGTATAGAATCTATCGGGGAGGTCTCCAAACAATTACCACGAGATGCAATCGTGTCATCCAGCCGACTGTGCCAGCGTATTCCCATGAATCCAGGAAACATTGACTTTACATTGAATGAGTGAATTCAGCGGTTTCATGCGGTTTCTTAGCCCATAGTCGCTGTTCTCTTTCCGGCGACCTCTGATCGACCGCACCTTCAAAGTTCATATTTGTGCCCAAATTGGCACAAAACATGCAAGTCGAGGCCCCGATGAGCATGGAGATGACAAAGGGCCCACCAGCAGTCAGCCAAACAACCTGACTCGCATGAGAATGGCTAGCCTGGCTATCTGTCCAAATCATGAGACCCGGGTTGACCACTGAAAATGATCAAAATCAACTACGTACCAAGAATGCCTGTCTACGATGCTTTTGGAGGTCTAAGTCTTTGTGTGGTGACGTCGCCAAGTGTTGGCGAAGCTGACAGCACCCAAACGAGATTGGTGATTGGAGGCTGAGCAGCTGCTGCAACAACCATCACGACCGTGAAGATCACGGGCATCGAACGCAGGAGGTAAACATCCACGCCCTTTTTCACCAGCTCACCCATCTGCATCACAGTTTCCGCACCTGAAGCCAAGTGACAAACATTGAGACACATGCGCATATGACAACCAAACTGCAGTTGTTTTGCCATGTGCGTGTCTGCATGTGACAATATGGATTGAATGGCACATATGAAATGATATGGCATGACGAAGTACAGCCTCCCTAGAGCTACTCGCAAAGCCGGTAACGTCAACAGTCAAAGGATGCACTCAGGCAAATGAACAGCGCACAAAACTACTTGTGCAGCCAAAGGCCCATTGACATCGTTTTTTGGATCCAAATCGTTTTCCAAGGTTTCTTCAAGCCATACTAATTAGGTAGCACACCCGCACATCTGCACACAGACTTGAACAATTACACAATTGACGCATCATGGTTTTCAAGGCCAAATCTTTCTGCGAATACATGAAGCTCTCGGATTAAGGGAATGGCACAGTGCTTTTTTTTAAAGAGGGAATGGCACAGCACTTGTTCTATGCGCTTGGCCGCTTGGGTTCTTGTGACACTGAGCTGCACCTGTCACAACACACAAACGGGAGCTAGGGGCTCAGCCCATGCATACAAGCTAGTAATAATCTTGTGAAGTAGGTTTACGGAGTGCCTGGCATTACATTTAGATTATCGTTCGTTGTTCGCTCATCGTTTGGATTATCGTTGGAGAAGCTGATCTGTTTTAGGAAATCGGTTCCAATCCTTCCGATCTGGCCTACGGCAAGTAGGGAAACCATTGAACATGTTGCACAAGTAGCAACACAAGTCTTTGTACCCATGACATCTTATATAAATTGAAATTAGATTTTAACATATCGTTTTCCACAGGGTCAGAGTCACGCCGTGAACATCTCGAAGGCAACTAAGGCAAGCAGGACATTTGGACATGGTCAAGTAATACTAAGCGAACTAAGTGCGCTTTCCTTCACAAGTGCGCATATGCAATTATTTGGTTCTCTCCGAAGTGCGCGTGTTTGAAATGACAGCCATGATGTCAAAGGACGCACTTTGCAAACACTTGCTTATCTTGCTGGATGCCCGGATCCTTCAATTATGGGTACAAGTAGCTGTATATAATAACTGTTAGGAAAAACAGTTTGTGAACACAAGCGCAAATATGCATATTTGCCATTGTTCATTATTTGTTTTTATTTGTCTACAAAATTCCTTCAGCTCGGCACTAGCTTGGGCAGTCGAATACTAAGACCAGTTATGACCAGTTACTAGTTCATAAAAGCATATAACAGCCTGTCCAGCTGTCAGCGCCAATTTCTCGAAAACCGATGAACCGAATGTCTGAACCCACGAAGAAGAAACAGCGTCGTCCTCCCCGTCACGCGCCGACGGTGCTCTCCAAGCATCCGATGTCTTGGACCAGTAATTCACTGCAGAAGTACGCGACGGTGAAGAGGCCAAAGGATCCACAGAAAAGGGAGTAGAAAAGCATCACTTGTGGCATTGCATATCGGAACTTCCTGCAAGATGGGTAGAGAAAGTGATGATCTCATGCAATTGATATCATGTGATCAATTGATATCATGTGGTCCGCTGAAATGCTTATATAAGCGTTTCTTCCGGCCCAGGTTCTGTCCAATTTTTCGGGACACCGCACCGCCAGGTTGTCTGACGTAGCCCCAGGGTGGCAACTCCCAAGGTGGATTGGGTGCATCAATGTAGGACACTTCTTCCTGACGCGCTGAAGGGAGGTTTCATGAGCTTTTGAAACAGCTTCTTTCAAACCAAACTACAGGTGATCTTGAATGACTCCGGTCAAGTGTCTGACACCATGCGGAAGGTGTTATTTCGTAGGGCAAGGAGCATCAAAACAAGCGACACGAAGCCGCCCACCACGAAAATGCACCTGGCAAATGCAGGCCACTGATGGCCACAATTGACGGTCGAGTCTACTCGGTTCCCAGCATCATGAAAGCGCTGAGCCAGCTGAAGTACCCTCGGTGAATCAGTGCCGCTTCCTGACGTCACCACGAACCCCCACACCCTCCACAAAGATCGACAAGGATGCTTTTGGCGTGGTTTGGAGCACGTTGATTTCCTGCCTTGGCCGCCAGGCCCATATGGTAAAGCACACCTAGGTTGATCACTTGTGGAATTTCCTTGTTCGATGTTTGTCCGGTTTGTGGAATTTAGGCCAAACCCTGGCAATGCCCTCAGAACGGAGACGCAAAACATCCTGTGAGATTTGGCAACGTGGCCATTCATACAATGGCCACGTTGTCATGTCTCCTCTGCCTGGCTGGACTGAGATGTACAATGTCAACATCCCGTGACCTTCCAATTCGTCCATGGCACCCCCATCATCTTCCTCATCTTCCTGTAATTTTTGCAATTCTGAAGATCTGGTGAGACATGGTGAGACTGACAAGAGAAGAACACCCGCATCCTGTGTATCCTGCCTGAGGCTTGTCTGGAACGAGCGTCTTTTCACTAATCCTGAGACACTCACGGCACGTAAAGCACCCGAACCGGCTGCTCAACTGCACTCATGGTTTCAACGTGCCTCTTCCCAATCACCTCTGCCACAGTGCTCCTGCTGCTCGCTCGCAGCGTGTTGCTTTTCATGGCCTGGCTACGGCCACGCTGGGATCCCATGGAGTTGGTCAGGACAAATAGGGACGAAAAATCTAGTAGCTTGGTCTTGCGCCATGTGTTTACTCTAACTGTGCTGTAGTAGATTACTGTAGTTTAAAACCCCTTTGCCTTTCCACTTGTTTGACATCGCAATCAAGTGCCGGCCTCATCGTGCTCGAAGCCGAGAGGTGCATGGCTCCTGGGCAATGGCAAACACGTTGGATCTGTTTGGGGATGCAGCAGCTTTCACTATACCACGCATCACCGTGGGCGGCCTCAAAAACCATGACCCGCGCAGGGCAGGGTGCCCGTAGCGACTTGAGCCATTGGATTGATCGATCGGTAATCGGCTTGTAGCAAACATCCATGCTGCCTAAAATGGTCAACACGGTAAACATGGCCACACGAGTTTTGTTAAATCCGTTTTCAATTTTTTTCCTCAACGCCCATCAAAGGCAAAGCTCATGAGGGAAACATCTGCCCACTGTATCTCTGTGGCCGCTGGGCCATTGACCAGGTGCCCCCAGCGGCAGGAAATCTCGGAGGTGGATCCCTGTGAGCAAACTGCGAATTCCCGGCCTTGCCCAAAGGAGGAGACGGAAACCAACTGAGCTGCAGAATGCTCCAACGCTTCCCCAAAGCTTATGGAGTTGTTACTCACTACACCCATCCGACAGGAGACGTAGGAGACATGCATGTCCGGCTCGGTTTCGAAGCATAGAATAAATCGATCATCTCCCATCCGAGCCAACTCCAAGTGATTTCCCACTGAAGCCTGCTCAAGGAAAGGAAATGCTGAACTCCATGGAAGTGGTGGCAATAGCTTGCCCACGTCGGGAGCGTCTTGGACGGCCCCGTGGCTTTCACTGCTTCGACCCCATGTCTCCAGGTGGGCCGCGCGACATCCACCACCTGATGAATTGGCGTCACTGGCACTGGGAAGGAGGGGTGAGAAGCACATCACCACCAGTGAGCTGTTCAGGCCTTAGCATTTGGGGACAAAAATTGAAAAAACAAAACATGTGATCAAGCACTGTTCATCTGGTATTCTACTTCCGGGTGATCTTTTCTGTAGCCCTTGCCCAAAGGATCTGAAAGGCACCAACATACACAAGACAGAAGCTGACCATGCTCAGCCCCAGGCCCAGCAGCTTTCGGTGTGCCATCCGCATCAAATCTCCTTCATAATACGCCCATGATTCGTGGTGGATCGACTGCTGTTGATGCTCCAGAACCTCGGCAGAGTGTAAAGCTTCCATCTTGACCTCATCCTCCATGGCCAAACGCATTCGTCTCTCTAACTCGCTTTCGGTCCGTTTGCCAATGGACAGCCAAGCTTGTCGATCATTGAAGGCATAACCCTCAGCTTCAGGATCTACGCTCTGCGGCAAAGGCGGGGCTGGTGCAGGTGGAGCAGGAGGTGGAGCAGCTGGTGGTTGCGGAGGTGGTAAAACTGGCGCGGAAACAGTCGGTAAGTCAGGAGGCTGCGCCGGCGTCTCTTCTTTGGAAGCAGCTTCAGTGACTTGATGACTTATAGAACTCGGTGCAATGCAGTTTGCAGAATCTGCAGAACTGGCCCCACAGACCCCGGCCACTTGGGAGTCTGAAGGTGTCATGAGCTCTTTCTCAAGCTGGTCCTCAGGAATGTCATCCACCAAGCCAGCCTGAGCACCACTGGGTTCATGGACCGGCTCCAAAGAGCTGGTCTGAATTCTGTCTAAACTATCTTCCGGCGGATTGCCTTGTTCTGTTTGGTCTGAGGGAGTCAGAGACTGAGTCGAATCCTCTGAGCTCTTCGAAAGGTTTTCCACATCTCCATCCGTGGCCTCATGCAACGCTGCGGCCACCTCACCGCTAGCTTCGGCGGCCAGGCACATCACCTGTACCAGCCAAGCTCTCCATGGCGGGCGCATTGAGCTTGTGCATAAGAACGGCAAATGCGCATTTTGAACCGACCTCAACTCCTCCTTCTGGTGTCTGTGCAATGCACTTGTTAGATCGCTGGTCTCCGGAAACGCCCATAGTAGATTCGTGGACGATGCTGAGCCGGACGACTTGAGGGAGCGAACAAAATGACACACGTCCTGCGCAGCACTAAAATAATCAAAAAAAACATCATAGAGTCACACCTTTCGTGTGACTGGGCTTGGCAGGAGTCTCTCCAAGGCAGCATTGCAAAGTCCAAGGGCCTATAATAATAAGTAAATTCAAATCTTACTTGTGCTGCATATGGAATCTGAACACGTACGTATGTTTACTTGAGGTCCTGAGTTCTGTCTACAAACATGACAACTAATGGTGTGTCATGCCTAATGGCAGCACGTTTTTCAGACTTGTCTTTGACATCGTCCAGTGCAATCCAAACATCTATCAATTCCGTCGGCATCAGGCATCCTTTCAGGATGCGACACTTCGGGTTTTGCCGAAAATAACGCACGATCCAACTAGCCTCCCAACAAAAGCGGAACATTCACAATAACAGTCAAGTGTGCAAAATGAACATGCGTGAACATCAAGCATTTAGAATATAGTGGGACTTTGAAGTTATGGTTCAATGGGAGGCCAAACTTGCTGCACGCCCGACTGATGCCGAGGCACCAAAACAAAACAGAAGGGGGCAGCAGAATCAACTCGATGGGAAGAGCTTGCATCATGTTGCATCACACCCAAAACTACCCGTGGGCCCCCATTGCGGGCCGTCGTGGGCTTGGCGAATTCGGGCGGGCACCCACTGATAGCTATTAAACTTGGCAAATCTGCCGGTTGCTCAGCTGGCCAGTGATGTTCCCAGCGTCCGCATTTTCGCCTTGTGCACCTGAGGCCAACTCAAAGAGACACACGTCACATTGGGAACGAGCTCTTCAGGTGCTGACATGCAGCCGGCGGCCCAGGACGCGAGTGAGATCATATATATGTGCTGGAAGGGCGTACCATGAGCGCACGTGGTACATTGGTTTGTGCGACTTAAGTACTGGGCAACCAGGTGAAACGCACGTGGCGTCGAGGGATGGACCTGTCAAAGCTTTGCGGGATGAAATTCATGTTTAAGGGCCCTTAAAGGTCGTAAAGGTGTGGTAGGCTATTAGGTTGGAGGCCATCGTTCTCAGGTTGGAGGCCATTGCTATTAAAATTCGTAAAGGTGTGGTAGTAGGCGGGCAGCACAGGTTGCGCCCGTTGCGGATGGAAGGCGCTACAGCATCACGGATGCTTCCCGCCCAAGACAAGGACACACTTAGATAAAGGTTCATCCAGTGCCAGAATCCACGCTGAAAAGAATGTGGGAAACGCACGGCGGCTGAGTTGGCAAGAGTACTTGCAATGTTTGCACAACTGTTTAAATTCTCTCGCGACAGTGCAGCTGCAGAAAGCGGCGGGGAAGTGGTTTGGAGGAGAGGTATCATGGAAACAACCATGACATCAAACAGACAGCAGCAGGGCGGACCAGTGGTGTCTTTGTGTTCGGAGCAGGTACAGGCTCAAGCGTCCTTGATCTCTTCCCATCTGTGATCATAGCTTCGTTGCGTGCAGTAGATCACAGATTCTGCACACCCCTGCTTTTTGGAAAGTGGTCCTCCTAAAGACGGGGGGTGACACACGCAACTGGTCGATTATCGGCGCAATGCATCGCAGGTTGAGCACTCTTTTGGTTCAAAAACCTGAATAGTCACCTAACCAGCCTTAGAAAAGAAAAGAAAAAGAAGGGGAAACGGTAAAAGAAAAAGAGATTCGAAGAGGGCAGGAGAGAAAGATAGGTGTAGAGGCGTGCATCTGCCGCACGAGCGGCAATTTACGGTGTCAAAAACCTGATTAGCTACCTAGCAAGCCTTAGAAGAGAGAGAGAAAGAAAAGACAGAAAGAGGAAAACGAAAAGGCAAGAGAGAAAGATAGGTGTAGCAGCACTTGACTACTTGGCCCTTGACCAACAGGAAAAACACCTCGCTACAAACCTAAAAGCCCCTAGCAAAAAGGCAGACCTAGAAAGACAAACGAACAGACAAGAGAGAAAGGCATAAAAACCCGAGGGGCAGGGAAACGAGCCTCAAGAACCACCTAGCGAGCCTGAAAGAACACCTTAAAAAACGAAGAAAGCGCAAGAGAGAAAGCGGGGGAGGGGGGAAAAGGGTGTATGTATGTACATGTGTGTGTAGACCGTGAGCTCGGCAGCATGAGGATCCGTAAGCGCGGCCGCTTGGGCATCAGGTGGTTCATGGGTGAAACGAAAGTGATCCCAAAAACTAGAATCCAACGAGCGCAGAAATGCGGAATATCAAACCAAAATTCCAGTGGTCACGGCGCCCCTTGCAGGGATCACATTGCGCACCCAAGTGGGAAAGCGCAGCGAGTCACACTTAGATAAAGGTTCATCCAGTGCCAGAACCCACGCTGAATGGAATGCGGGAAACGCACGGCGGCTGAGTCGGCAAGAGTACTTGCAATGTTTGCAAAACTGTTTAAACTCTCTCGCGGCAGTGCAGCTGCAGAAAGCGGCGGGGAAGTGGTTTGGGGGAGAGGTATCATGGAAACAACCATGAAATCAAACAGACAGCAGCAGGGCGGACCAGTGGTGTCTTTGTGTTCGGAGCAGGTACAGGCTCAAGCGTCCTTGATCCCTTCCCATCTGTGATCATAGCTTCGTTGCGTGCAGTAGATCACAGACGCTGCACGCCCCTGCTTTTTGGAAAGTGTTTTTTTTGGAGACGGAGGGTGACGCACACACTTATAGAAATGCGTACTGACTTGACAGCGGTGCCACACGCCAGCCCAAGTGAAAAACCTAAGAAACCAGGACAGGGGTAAGTACGGTGGTCCAAACTTCCTCAAAACCTGCACAGCCTCCACCTTCGAATCGACACATCCAAAGCGACAATGCACATCTGCCGATGACGAACCGATGCAAAGGCTGGACGTCTTGTTCTAGCTACAAGCAGGGCCCACGATGAAATTTCTCAAGTAAAACTGCAGGTACGTCTGGCTGATCAGGCCAGATATCAGCACGGAACTTGACCCTCTTCGTTGGATCACCAGTCAGGT